TTACATAGTGGAAAGGGTGTCTGAGAATTTAAACTACAGGGAATTAGTTGTAGTTGATGAAGATGAAATGGATATTTTTATTGGTATTGGAAAATTTAGAAGGTTGGTATACATAATCATTTTCTAGATTTGTGTGTCATTGATTAACAAAGACACTGAATAAGGGTTGTACGTTAATTGTTTATATGGGATTGATTTGGTTGAGGCTATACTTTATATGTTAAACTATGAAGAACAAAAGATATCTAAAAGTTAGATTTAAAGGTTGTACAGTAGTTTGAAAATATTTACCAAGTACTACTAGGTGTATACATGTAATCATAATCTACAGTCAAAACTTGTTATCTCAAATTTAATAGAACCAAACAAACTTCAAGATATCCAAGTATTCAATATATCAGGGATAAAATAGTTTTAAAAGAATAAGTGTACAGGATACAAAAAGTTCACTGTACATGTAAAATTTAATGCACTTTATAGGCAGTATATATCTCATGTCTTGCTCAGTTCTCCTATCTTTCTTGTAGTTTTAATCCGTTGCACTTAAATTCTTCAGATTTGAACTGAAAATGTGCATTTCTTTTTGATGAGAAAATGTGGTAAATGAAGTTTTCTCATCATCTCAACTTAAATTTGTTGAGATCAAAATTGAATTCAAACTTTAAGATGCTCGTTTCTTAAATGAAGTGCATCTGGGTAAACCCCTGGAGCAGATGTGAAGAAAATTATACTCCATTACCAAACAAAATAACTGCTAGATCGTAATTCTCCTTGTTACAAGATAACATGCAGTTTCAATTGAAAAATGTACCGTTATTTGTAGAATTAATTAACAAAGCACCAAACAATATGGGATAGCATTTATTAGACCTACAGTACACATATCATAACAGATGCTCCGTTAACAATTGGTTGTATTTAAGAACTTTTCAATGTAAATTTTTAGCTCTACTGGTCAGAGACCAGAAGAGCTTATGCGATAGTAATGCGTGGCGTCCGTCCGTCTGTCCGTCTGTCTGTCTGTCTAGCTGTCCGTCTGTCTGTAAACAATTTTTCAAAATGCTACTCCTCCTACAGTTTTGGTCTAATTTCAATATAACTTGGCACACAAGTAGACTACACTAAGATACATAATTCTGTGTATCGGTTTTTGATTTCGATGAACGGTGTTGCCGTGGTTACTAAAAATAGAAATTTCTGTGAAATTCTTTCAAAATGCTACTCCTCCTACAGTTTTAGTCTGATTTCGGCATAACTTGGCACACAAGTAGAATACACTAAGATACATAATTCTGTGTATCGGTTTTTGAAAATGAACGGTGTTGCCGTGGTTACTAAAAATAGAATTTCTGTGAAATTCTTTCAAAATGCTACTCCTCCTACAGTTTTGGTCTGATTTCAGTATAACTTGGCACACAAGTAGAATACACTAAGATACATAATTCTGTATATCGGTTTTTGATTTCAATGAACGGTGTTGCCGTGGTTACTAAAAATAGAAATTTGTGTGAAATTCTTTCAAAATGCTACTCCTCCTACAGTTTTGGTCTGATTTCAGTATAACTTGGCACACAAGTAGAATACACTAAGATACATAATTCTGTATATCGGTTTTTGATTTCGATGAACGGTGTTGCCGTGGTTACTAAAAATAGAAATTTCTGTGAAATTCTTTCAAAATGCTACTCCTCCTACAGTTTTGGTCTGATTTCAGTATAATTTGGCACACGAGTAGAATACACTAAGATACATAATTCTGTGTATCGGTTTTTAGCTCTACTGGTCAGAGACCAGAAGAGCTTATGCGATAGTAATGCGTCCGGAGTCCGTCCGTCTGTCTGTCTGTCTGTCCGTCTGTCTGTAAACAATTTTTCAAAACGCTACTCCTCCTACAATTTTAGTCTGATTTCAATATAACTTGGCACACAAGTAGACTACACTAAGATACATAAAATAGTGCATCGGTTTTTGATTTCGATGAACGGTGTTGCCATGGTTACTAAATATAGAATTTTCTGAAAAATTCCTTTAAAATGCTACTCCTTCTACAGTTTTAGTCTGATTTCAATATAACTTGGCACACAAGTAGACTACACTAAGATACATAAAATAGTGCATGGGTTTTTGATTTAGATGAACGGTGATGCCATGGTTACTAAAAATAGAATTTTCTGAGAAATTCCTTTAAAACGCTACTCCTTCTACAGTTTTGGTCTGATTTCAATATAACTTGGCACACAAGTAGACTACACTAAGATACATAAAATAGTGCATCGGTTTTTGATTTCGATGAACGATGTTGCCATGGTTACTAAAAATTGAATTTCCTGAGAAATTCCTTTAAAACGCAACTCCTTCTACAGTTTTAGTCTCATTTCAATATCACTTGGCACACAAGTAGACTACACTAAGATGCATAAAATAGTGCATCAGTTTTTGATTTCGATGAGCGGTGTTGCAATGGTTACTAAAAATAGAATTTTCTGAGGAATTCCTTTAAAACGCTACTCCTTCTAAAGTTTTGGTCTGATTTCAATATTACTTGGCACACAAGTAGATACACTAAGATACATAAAATAATGCATCGGTTTTTGATTTCGATGAACGATGTTGCCATGGTTACTAAAAATAGAATTTTCTGAGAAATTCTTTAAAACGCTACTCCTTCTACAGTTTTAGACTCATTTCAATATCACTTGGCACACAAGTAGACTACACTAAGATACATAATAGTGCATCGGTTTTTTATTTCGATGAGCGGTGTTGCAATGGTTACTAAAAATAGAATTTTCTGAGAAATTCCTTTAAAACGCTACTCCTTCTACAGTTTTGGTCTGATTTCATTATCACTTGGCACACAAGTAAACTACACTAATTTACACATAATAGTGCATCGGTTTTTGATTTCAATGAACGGTGTTGCCATGGTTATTAAAAGTAGAATTTTCTGTGGAATTCCTTTAAAATGCTACTCCTTCTACAGTTTTGGTCTGATTTCAATATAACTTATCACACAAGTAGACTACACTAAGATACATAATTCTATGCATCGGTTTTTGATCAGTACAAACCAGTAGAGCTACAATCTCGACAGAGACTTCTGGTTATTTGAAATATTCTGTTGAAAGCTGGAGATAGCATACAGTTGAAACTGATTCTTGACCTTGTATTCTACAGAACCATGCATTAATGCAATGGAGTGAAGGAAGTTGTGTAACTTTTGATATAATATTAATAGTGAGTGAATGATAGACTTTACATTGCAGGATAGTGTGTGTCAGGAGGAGTTCTGTATAAAAGTTAAAATTGGGAAACACCTGACAGGTAGGTTTTTAGTGTCATGTACTATATATCAACAGATGTTTCCTAAAATCAGGGAGGGTGGTCTATTTTAAAAGATTAATTAAGGAAAAATTCTGAATTTCATTTGGGAAAAAATTATATTTGTCTCAATTCCCTCTAGTTAATATGAGGGGATACTGCAAATAATTCTAAAAATGACTTGCATTTGTTTAGGAATGTGGGTAAGGAAATGAATTTTTTACTGCATGAATGCACGATAAAAGTGAGGGAGCTGGTTTAAGTCTTTATGTTATTTGATGTAAAGGCTTGGTTTATTTCCTGCCATGCTATATATTTCTGTTATTTCACCGTTATAGAGGATATTAGAGCTGCTGATGTTGAAATGAAAAGCTTTTCTGCATTTTTTTAATGGAAGAAAGTTTTCCTATACAAAAACTTGGGCGTTTTTCTTTTTTTATTATGACATTTAAGAGATGGTTTCAAGTGAACAAGCTTATAAAAAATAAAAGGTAAAAATCAAACTGCCACTGCCACACGTTTACAGGCATCAAAACAGCGTAGATTCTGGTGTAAGATATGTTATTTTGAAAGGCCTATATGAAGACATAATATATTTCAAATAAACATTTATTATTAATTTAGAATGACAACAAAACAGCTGAGTGATATAAAACAAGGAAACTGTAAATCAATTACACACTGTATACATCCTTAAGGTTTAATTGTTTTGGCAGTTCAATCTTTTTTTCTTACACCTACAATTATCAAGTACTGAAAATAGACAGAAGTAGAGAGTTAGATGGTAATATAATCTAAAAAAAAAATTCAATCTGTTAATTGTTTTATTATTTTTTATTCAGCTATATTATAAAGTGCTTTCTGATTTTGAAATGCATTAACTATACATGTTTCCTTAATTTGATTACAAAAAAGTTCATGCTAAGTGCTCAGGTTTGCAAAAATTCAATCCACATGTGAAATAAAAGCTACAAATTGACATAATTAGATGTTATAGGGCAATTTTGTGGGCAATTGGCAGTTTAGTGAGTATTAGTTTCTACAGGAGTTCAGATGAGGTCATGTGTGCGTTTGTCTGCTGTGGGTCAGCTACTGATAAAATCACCCAAACTACTCCAAGGTATCAGTGTCAGGAATATGTTTGTTTTGCCCCCTGTCTTGTCAATTATCCTCTAATTATAAGGGGCACCTGCAGGGGGTGCTTGATCCTCCCATAAATCACATCCAATACACAAATCTTAATGAGAAGTAACCATGAGGTACCCGCACCTCAGATCTCCATATATTTTCCATATTCAAAATAAGGAGAAAATGCGGACGGGAGTATTTGGACTAATTTTCCGGATTAATTCCAGATTTTCTCTGTATTCAAATTTCCAGATTTTCTCCGTATTCAAAATATGGAGAAAATGCGGATGGGAGTATTTGGACTCTTTTTCCGTATTCTCTCCAGATTTCCGCATTTCCATATATACAAAATATGGAGGTAAAATGCGGAAATGCAGAAATCTGGAGAAAATACGGAGTTAATCACATGGTTATAAAATGGCCTAAAACCGCTACATGAATAACATGATGCATACATATAAATATTTACAAAACCATCAACAATGTGCAAATTTATATACAATTTAATATATCATTATGAGAAAAACATAAATGAATGAAAAAATTACACATTATGTTCATGAGCAATGTATTGGATCTTATATCTTTGACAAACAAACAGAGGAGCATGTAATTGGAAAAAGTTTGAACTCTTATTTAAGCCACAAATTCATCATGGAAAAAAAATAAATAAGAATGTGGCATTTTTTTTATATTTATCAAATGGAAATCTATTCATTCTATTTAAGCAAAAGTGGTAGTGAAAAGTTCAACACTATTAGATATTGGGGAAAAAATAACAATTGACATAGCATTGAATATTTACAAAAAAAAGCAATTTTATAGACATTTTTTATCAATCTGGATCACATTTGCCATTTTCTACCTGCATTCCCGATTCATATTTCTCACAATATTCAATTTATATCTCTGAGGTCTGTGCTTTACACCAATCTGTCCAATGAAAATTTTCTTCAGACTTCTTTGTAATTTGTAAGGTCACTGCATGTTTAATTTCTTGCAGCAGCACTTGCAGTCGAATGGGCAAATCCTATCAGTTAAAAAAAAAAATACTTAAATTATAATGGTGCAATACTAATAAAATTCAAATTAATTGCTTTTATTCCTTTTATAATCTTTTTATAAATACAAATTTGGGTTCTTCAATTTTAAATCAATTTGTTTAAAATAATATTTATTATTAAATAATGACAATCATAGTTATAGTTGACTGTTTTTAATTAAACGAGCAATAAAAAAAGAAAAAAAAGAATATATATATATATACCTCATACATAACCATCCATGGACCAGTTTTAAGCCTGTTAAAATCGCAGTTAGTTGAATAACCACTTATTCTTTTTCAAAAAATCTCCTCCTTATGCACAGACGCTAGATTTCTACCAAAAAAAAAAAAAATGTATGGTAAATCATTGCTTTAAAAGAGATAACAGCCCATGCCTCCCCAAAATTAACACCTTTAATTGTGGTTAACCATAATTAAATTCTATGAGCTGATTGAATGATTTGAATCATGGGCATATTGGCTGAAACGTACGTAGCCTGGTAGCTCACTCCTAGGCCTAGAGTATTTATTTTTAATCATCACTGACACACATGTTAAAAAAAATATGACTGACCTACCGCATATGAAATACGTGTATCTGCATCTTTTGGTTGATACAGCAATACGATCTCGGGCTGTCTGGTCAACAAACTATTGAAACTTCCTCCTTTAGACAGAGCAGACGTTACAACATGGATGCCAAGGTTAAATTTTGGCGGTCTGTTGTTTAAATTAATTGATCACTGAGCCCGACTTTTTGAAACATTCTTCCGATCCCGATCATATTGCACATAACATTCCGGAGAAACAGAGAACTGCTGTTAACTCCAAGACAGTGTTTATGTGCCCAAATTTTTTCGGGGCGCATATTGTTTTTGTCCTGTCTGTCTGTTTAGCTGTTTGTCTGTCTGTTTGTCTGTTGTCAATTTTACGTTCGACATAACTTTTGAACCGTGAGACTTAGGGACTTCATAGTTGGCTTGGATACTCCACTACAAAAGCACTTTCAACTGATACAAGGTCAATGACCTTGTGACCTTGACTGTGACCTATGTGCTAAAAATAGCTTTTTTCGAAATTTTCACCATAACTTTTGAACCATAGATGATAGAGACTTAATATTTGGTATGCAAACTCCACTAATTAAGTGCTTTCAAATGACACCAAGAACAATGAATGTGTGACCTTGACTGTGACCTATAGGCTAAAAATAGTTTTTTCAAACTTTCACCATAACTTTTGAACCGTGAGAGATAGAGACTTAATATTTGGTGTGCACACTCCACTAATTAGGCACTTTCAAATGACACCAAGGTCAATGACCTTGTGACCTTGACTGTGACCTATGTGCTAAAAATAGCTTCTTCTTTTTTTTTTTGAATTTTCCCCATAACTTTTGAACCATAGATGATATAGACTTAATATTTGGTATGCAGACTCCACTAATTAAGTGCTTTCAAATGACAACAATGATCGTGTGACCTTGACTGAGACCCATTTGCTAAAAATTGCTCTTTAGAACTTTGATGCCGCCGGGCGCTACTCACAGTGTTTCACAAACACATCTTGTTCTTGATGAAAAAATTCTAAGTCCTGAGCTCCGTATTTTTTCCGGATGAAAAATATTCTAAGTTAAGAGTTCAATATTTTTCCAGATGAAAAATAGACTAAGTCCAATTCTCCGTATTATTTCCGTATATTTTCCGGACTATTTCCGTATATTTTCTGCTTTTCCGTATTGTTGATTCTCTCCGTATTTTTTTCCACATTTTTTCCATATTTAAATGAGGAAAAAATGCGGAATAATGTGGAAATCTGGAGATCTGAGGTGCGGGTATTTGTTTGAAGATAAAGACAATCAAGATGCCATTATAGAGGCCTATCTGATCGTGTCTTTAGGAGCCCAGTGGTGAAGCGATTCCAGACATGGAGCCACAGTGTGCTAGGTGTCAGGTTAGAGAGTTAGTACGGGAAGTGGTAACAGTCATTATTTTTAATGTGTATTGGATTAATCTGATAAATGTAATTAAGTGTGTTAGGAATTTATGGATTGCTTTTTTGTGTGTTTTGTATGAGCAGTAAAACCAGGTAAGTTAATTTACAACTATTGATTGTTACTCAAAAACCAAATTTATAAAAGGTTATTAAATAGCTTAAATGGATCCATGGATTGATGCAATGTCGTGTTGTGCAGTTCGCAGATGAAATTTTCATGCTAAATTATGCAAAGTCTTATTGAGTTTTGATGGAGTTTTATTGAGCCAAAAGTAATTCAAATAAGATAAACTGGAACCATCCTAATAGCATGTCATGTCGATAATGGGTCAGGGTTGCAATGATAGATGAGCAGAAATGTACTTAATTAAGGAGATGATAGCCTTTTTAAAGAATCTGCCCAGAGCGTAAGATTTATGCTTCCCTATACACGCTGTCTCTCGGAGTACAAGACATTGTTCGTACTTTGTTACTATAAGTTAATTACGGCTTTATGTTCTCAAAAATAATAACTCATTGAGATGGTACATAAAAACTGGTTTGTTTTTGTATTGAGTAACTTAGACCTCCAATATGCCTCTCAAATTTAGCTTGGTAATTGAATTGACAACAATCAGGACCTGGTAGCTATAGAGCCACCAGACTAAAGCTTCAGACATGAAATATTTTTTCCCCTGATTTTGATAGTGTCGTAAATCCAGTGCATTAGTTATGATCAATACAGACTGACAAAATTCCTCGTTTACCAGGGTCAGTGAATTGTGAGTGGCCGAGATGGAGGATTGGTGAGTGAGACGAACAGGATGACCACGCTTGAATAAACTGAGATAAACGGCACCGTTAACATGGTATGAGTAGAAGTGAATCACAATGGATTTATTTGGAGATGGTCCCTACAGAAATCTGGACAGAAGGAAAATTCACCCTCTACTGGATCAGGTTAATTTTATTCTTTAATGTGATATTGTAATCATTGAATAATAATTGGGACATGTTGATTTTGTGAAAAAAAATTGGCCAGTTTTACTTTAGGAAGAGTAGATTTTGGGCTCTGTTCAAAAATTTTATTCACTGACATTAAAGTTTACATTAAGAGGCATATTGCTTTTGATATTTTTGTTTATTTGTCCATCAGAAATTTACTTTGGTTGTAGCCTTGAAAGTGAACAACATGGGGACTTCATATTAATACAAGGTCAAGGTGATGATCAGAGGATATATGACCCTGTGAAAAGGTCAAGGACAGAAATATATAAACGTAACCTCGTAATGGTTGTATGATTAGTTTTTTGTTTGCTCTGCATCCTTTTGAAAACGTTTAACTTGTATGTTTGAGATTGAAAATTCAGACTTAAGTACTTGGCACCTATTGCCAGTGAGAAGTGAAGAATCTTTTTTGTGCTAGATTGTACATGTATACTGACACAGCACTTTGGTTAAGGACACTTTGTCGTATACAGTGTCACCCTAAGGAACAGTTTCCTTGTCTCCCAGTGGAATTTGAACCAATGATATGAATCAATAGAGTTACAATCTCATCAGAGACTTCTAGTTCTGAGCAAGCAATTTAAGGGGAAACAGTCATTTATTTCAACAAACTTAGATAAAATTGGTCAGGGTGTGGTGTTTTCACACACAGATTAAGGACAGGCCAGCTGGCTTACAAGTCTAAACCTTAAGACAATACCAGAATTAACATCCCATCTAATGACTTCTTAAATCCTGTAAACTCTGTGTTCCTTGGTTCCTGAGGGACCACCCATTCTTATAAATTTGATTTCAATCCCTTGACAAATTTGGATAATTGCACTGCTTCTATTGATTGTGAGGAATTTAAGAAGTTCTCTTGAGAACAAGGGTGAGCATGGCAAGATTTGGTTACAGCCTGGTTATATCTGATGTATGTTTTAAGCCATGTTTGATCAGTAAGATCTTGGGCAGGTTTTATTTGAAGTTATAACAGTTTTGTTACTGACTCCAGTTACAAAGGAGTTCCTTCAACTTTTGAACCCTTTATGAGTATAAAGAATAGAGTTTCACATAAGACTCAAGGATCAACTTTGATTCTTTCATTGTGACAGGAATTTTGCAGATGCCACACCCCTAGTTAAATAATGGTTAATTGCTTTTATTGGATTGAGCTCACAATGGGATATTGAGTTGAATTTTAATCGGTATCCATAAAAGAAAGCCGATGGAAACTAGTGTGTTCAATTCATATGGCCTCTATAAAGGCAGTAGTAGGCATCGTAAGTTTATGAAAAATACAAGGCAACGAGGATGGCAATGGGGTATTTACTTTTGCAAAAGGGTACAATTCATGAACTTACTCAAGGTCTTAGTATAATAAAATTACAGATATAGAGGTTAATAAGATTATGGTTACTAGCAGGGGTCTCATTTTATCTACATTTGTATGTATTATACATGTATAGATAATATGTGACTCAGGTGAGCATTTCAGCTCTGGGGCCTCTTGTTTGACCACTTAACAACATGCATGTTATCAAACTTGCCAGAGTAATACAAATATTTTGAAAGAGTACAAAAAACATGCAGTAGATGTAACAGTATCAAGTAAGATAAATTTTCTACACAAAAACCACAGCTTTGGATTGGCTATGACATTACGAACCTCTCAGTTTTTTGACACATTGATAACATTACTTCACCTGCCCACTCACTGATTCACAAAATATGAAAAGATAACCTCTTTTCTCAATCATTTTGTCATCGAGAAAATAAAAGGAGATTTGAAAGGAAAGAATTTAATTAGCAGTCTTGTTTAACCCTTTGATGTCCTATGGAGAAGAAACAATTTTCTGTATGCGGGTAAATGGAATTCCATTAGAGCAGGTTTTCCTTGGTAGAGGAGGTTTGTCCTTGTTGGAGGTTTATCAGTGACATCAGAACCATAGAGTGGAGGGAGTCAATGACAGATTCCCTCGTGTCGGCTGATTATGTCAGGGGAGATCTGATTATGTGTGGGGGGAGATCGTGCGATATTCTGAGTCAGTTTTTGTACAGCTACCTGTTTTCTGCCCCCTCTCACCACTGACTTGACACATCTAGCTATGAAGTATTGTGATATTTATTAATAATATGATGAGTGGAAGGTTAGCCTAAGGCTTATTCTTACACAATGTACGTTTCATCTAAATTATAGGTTCTGTACAATTTGATAATCATTTCAACTTTACTTTTCTATCATATTAATAACCTATAAAGGGACCTTGTAAATAGTTTTTTATAGGTGAGGAGGTGTTATGCTGGCAATTCTGATTTTCAAATAGAGTTATCTCTCTTTGAATGTTTCACTAAAAAATATGTGTACCCTTGCAAGAGCATCTTTTTTTTCTTATTCAGCAGAAAGTCAATAATTTTGTTTTATTAAATCAGGAGGAATATGAAGTGACGGATACAGACAATGCAGTCAAGGTTCACACAGACAAGCCCCATCTGGTCAGTTTGGGAAGTGGACGCCTCTCTACAGCGGTCACCATACTGCCACTACAAGAGGGTATCATGTCTCAGAATCTCACTACATGAAAGAGAATATATAAGTCTTACTTAGAGTATTAAGCATACATTATTTTAGCAAGATACGTGCATCTATTTGGTATTTGTGATCAAGACAAAATTTTCACAGATATTCACATTTTACATTACAAACTGAAGATAATTCATTATGGAAATTTTGATCCCAATCATGTTTTAATGTAGAGCCTAAGAAAGAGGCATCAAGAACTGAGTGCATTTCTTTATAAGATTCAGGGCTGTGTAAAGTATGCCCCAGTCTGTGTAAAGAGATAATTTATGTGCAAATTTTATATTTCCCTAAAGAACCTGTATTAACTGTACAATTATATATGATAGGAGACCACTAACAGACTGTATGTTTGTAGGTAGGACAGATATTGGTACCTACGATTCCCCCAGTGAGCCAGACATTATTATACAGGGAACGGGGGTGGAGCCAGAACACTGCTATATTGACAACATCCACGGAGTGATCACTTTGTATCCCCTCGCCAAGATGTGTGCAGTGGACGGGATTCTCGTCACTGAACCCACCAGACTTCCTCAGGGTCTGTATGCTGTTATTTAGTTGTAGGTCAGCCAGGTTAGGCTTCCTTAAGTTGTCAGTCATCCTTCTGTCTAATTACTTACCCTCTATAATCGAAGGGAACATCAAAATAGAACTGGTCGCCCATGTGACGCAGTGGTTAGAGCATCTGCTCTAGAGTCATGAAGTAAGGAGTTAATCCTTACATCTTGGGTTTGAATCCCACTGGGGGACGTGGAGAACGGTCCTTCAGATGGGACCCTATGAATAAAGGCCCTGTTTTTACAGTAGGTCCTGGCACGAAAAACATCCCTCCCTGCTCAATGGTTCTTAGTGCCCAGTATTGGACAAAATGCAGCTCTCCATCGGCAAGAGGTGGTGTCTCCATATGAGTGAAAAATTCTCACAAAAAGGGACATTAAACAACATGCAAACAAACAAAAAAATAGAAGAGCAGAGTTATTTTCACCCCATGTTATTTTCAAGCTTTTTTTACTTGCAAGCAATTTAGTCCCACATTTATTCATCAGGAGACAGTTATGTTTAGAGATAATGCTGTTTCATTTAATTTACCAAATTTTAAAAGAAGTAAAATTTACCTAGATGCAATTACATTATTTTTGCCTCATTATTTTCATGCGTTTTCATTTGCAAACAATTAAGTCCCATTTTAAATTCATCAAGAAACAGTCATATTAAAGAGTTAATGCTGTTTTCATTTAATTGACCAAATTTTTAATTTGTTCAGTGCATTTTTACAGAGTTGTCCTTCTTGACATAAAAAATCAATTGTAAATCAGTACGGAGTTTTACTCTTTATATTATAACTAGAAAAAGTTTATTTTTAGAACAATATGTTGCATTTATCTGAAATAAAATGCTTCAGATTTGTTTTCTTCTGAATTCCATTGAAGCGATGGGCATGATAGCATGTTTTTAAGTAAATCTAATATCCCTCAATGCACAGATGTGATCTTAGCTGCACCTACATGATAGGTGTTAGGTAACTCAACATAAACATTTGTTGATATCACAACATCAGAAATAGGGGACCCAAAGATCTTTGGGATGGCCTGTATATGAGCTGGTACCCACTGGTACACTAAATAAATCTTGTCACTGAAATTGATACATCCATATCAAAAAGGAAACTTATAAGCTTGTTTCTGCTTTAATTGTGAAAGTTGAGCATTCCAATTGATACATGTCTGTGAGGTAAAACAGTTTTGTACTTGAAGCATGAGATGAAATTGATAGAAAGGAACAAACCTCTTTGTGAGCCCCACCCTGGCATTGGCAAATTGTATGGTTGAAGCATGTGATATCTAGTAAATAACAGCTGATTCAATTAATCACATAAGGAATACATTTTATAAGAAAGAAATTGTTTATTGAGAGTTCTATCTGTCTGTTAAGTGTCAGAGTGATGACTTTCTAATAGAAACTGTTTGGCTTAGTGTATTCACAAATCTTCCAACAGAATGAGCAATACATTTGAATTAAAATATCCATCTTAAGGTACTAAAAATAATGTTAGAATGAAGAAAAGTCAAAATCCTTGCTATATATTACTGTTTGATTATTTGAAAATTTGAGAAGTTCTACAAGTTAATATTTTACTCATCATTTTATCAGTAGAGTTACCTATATGGCCAACATATTTTAAAGATGTCCATCCCAAAATAAATCATAACACTGCCTAAGCTGTGTTTTTAGCTCACCTGAGCCGAAGGCTCAAGTGAGCTTTTCTGATCAAAATTTGTCCGTCATCTGTCGTCGTTGTCGTCGTAAACTTTTTACATTTTCATCTTCTTCTCAAGAACCACTGGGCCAATTTCAACCAAACTTGCTACAAAGTATCCTTGAGTAAATGGGATTCAAGTTTGTTCAAATGAAGGGCCACGCCCTTTTCCAAGGGGAGATAATTATGAATTAGAGAAAAATTAATGGCATTTTTAAAAAATCTTCTTCTCAAGAACCACTTGGCCAGGAAAGATGAAACTCATGTGGAATCATCTTCAGGTAGTGTAGATTCAAATTTGTTCAAATTATGACCCCCGGAGGTAGGGTGGGGCCAAAATGGCCGATCAAAGTTTTACATAGGAATATATAGGGAAAATCTTTAAAAATCTTCTTCTCAAGAACCACTGGGTCAGGAAAGATGAAACTCATGTGGAATCATCTTCAGGTAGTGTAGATTCAAGTTTCTTCAAATCATGACCCCCGGGGCTAGTGAGGGGCCAAAATGGCCGATCAAAGTTTTACATAGGAATATATAGGAAAAATCTTTAAAAATCTTCTCCTCAAGATCCATAGGCTCATGTTGAATCATCTTCAGGTAGTGTACATTCAAGTTTGTTCAAATCATGACCCCTGGGGGTAGGGTGGGGCCAAAATGGCTGATCAAAGTTTTAAATAGGAATATATAGGAAAAATCTTTAAAAATCTTCTCCTCAAGAACCACTGGGCCAAGAAAGATGAAACTCATGTGGAATCATCCTCAGGTAGTGTAAATTCAAGTTTGTTCAAATCATGACCTCCGGGGGTACGGTGGGGCCAAAATGGCCGATCAAAGTTTTACATAGGAATATATAGGAAAAATCTTCTCAAGAACCATTGAGACAGGAAAGATGAAACTCTTGTGAAAAATCTTTAAGAATCTTCTCCTCAAGAACCACTGGGCCAGGAAAGATGAAACTCATGTGGAATCATACTCAGGTAGTGTAGATTCAAGTTTCTTCAATTCATGACCCCCTGGGGTAGGTTGGGGCCAAATGGCCGATAAAAGTTTCAAATACATGTAGTAATATATAGGAAAAATCTTTAAAAATCTTCTTTTCAAGTACTTCAAAGCCATGCTTAGTGATATTTATAGGGAATCATCCTCAGATATTGTAGATTCTAGTTTGTTCAAATCATGACCCCCTGGGGGGTTAAAATTCAAGCCCCCTCCCGCCTCTGATATGTGCTTTTTTCTAGCCAATTGCTCAGGTGAGCGATGTGGCCCCTGGGCCTCTTGTTTCTACTACTCATTTTTAGCTCACCTGAGCCGAAGGCTCAAGTGAGCTTTTCTGATCAAAATTTGTCCGTCGTCTGTCGTCGTTGTCGTTGTCGTTGTTGTTGTTGTCGTCGTTGTAAACTTTTCACATTTTCATCTTCTTCTCAGGAACCACTGGGCCAATTTCAACCAAACTTGGCACAGAGTATCCTTGGGTAAAGGGGATTCAAGTTTGTTCAAATGAAGGGCCGCGCCCTTTTCCAAGGGGAGATAATCATGAATTTGTTAAAAATTAATGGCATTTTTAAAAAATCTTCTTCTCCAGAACCGCTGGGCCAGGAAAGATGAAACTTATGTGGAAGCATCCTCAGGTAGTGTAGATTCAAGTTTTTTCATATCATGACCCCCGGGGCAAGGGTGGGGCCAAAATGGCCGACCCAAGTTTTACATAGGAATATATAGGAAAAATCTTTAAAAATCTTCTTCTCCAGAACCACTGGGCCAGGAAAGATGAAACTCATGTGGAATCATCCTCAGGTAGTGTAGATTCAAGTTTGTTCAAATCATGACCCCCGGGGCAAGGGTGGGGCCAAAATGGCCGACCCAAGTTTTACATAGGAATATATAGGAAAATTCTTTAAAAATCTTCTTCTCGAGAACCACTGGGCCAGGAAAGATGAAACTCATGTGGAATCATCCTCAGGTAGTGTAGATTCAAGTTTGTTCAAATCATGACCCCTGGGGCAAAGGTGGGGCCAAAATGGCCGACCCTTGTTTTACATAGTAATATATTAGAAAAATCTTCTTCTCGAGAACCACTGGGCCAGGAAAGATGAAACTCATGTGGAATCATCCTCAGGTAGTGTAGATTCAAATTTGTTGAAATCATGACCCCCGGGGCAAGGGTGGGGCCAAAATGGCCGACCCTTGTTTTACAAAGGAATATATTAGAAAAATCTTTAAAAATCTTCTTCTCGAGAACCACTGGGCCAGGAAAGATGAAACTCATGTGGAATCATCCTCAGGTAGTGTAGATTCAAGTTTGTTCAAATCATGACCCCCCGGGGCTAGGGTGGGGCCAAAATGGCCGACCCAAGTTTTACATAGGGATATATAGGGAAACTTTTTAAAATCTTCTTTTCAAGTACTTCAAAGCTATGATTAGTGATATTTATATGGAATCATCCTCAGGTAGTGTAGATTCTAATTTGTTCAAATGATGAACGCCTGGAGGGGGGGGGATAAATTCAAGCCCGATGTGCTCAGGTGAGCGCTGTGGCCCCTGGGCCTCTTGTTCCTTGTCCAGTATTTTACCCTAGATGAATGTCCTAAGTTTTTGCATCTTTCTTTGTAGCTAAATGTTCCATATTTGCTTAAGTCTGTCTTCCTCAGATACATGTTCTTGGCTAAATGAAGATAGAGTTTGTTTAACAGCTCCATTGTTTAGTAATTTTTAGTCCTACAATGCCTGAGTTTACAGAGGTATGACTTCTGGCAGTTTTTCTTCAAGTGCTGCTTTTGACTCCATTGCTTTCGGATAAATTTTTGGGGGGTACATAGTTTTAACATAGATGCAGATGACTCATTGTAATATTAATCAGACAAGCAAAAAATTAATTCTTTATTTTATCATAAATGTTTCAGTCGGACTTTGCCTCACTTAATAAAAGACATGTTCATGGAGGTGAAGAGTGCAGTGTGCTTTTATTCCTAAACAGTGAAGTAAACAGATGTAAAACTGATCGGTAATAACTCAGTGCAGGCCCCTGTTATCTTGGGTTCCTCGGTGTTCCTATTACCAGAATCTCTTAAAAGATGCTCAGACCTATTGAGATAAATCATATTTCTTCTTCAGGTTTTGTAAAGTAATGTGAGCTGTTCAAAACAATCTTTATAAATTGATCATAGAATCAAGTAAAACTTTAAAAAAATTTCGGAATTTTGGAACAAAGCTATATTTCTTTTTTAACATCATTTCATTTAAAATCTCTGATACTAGGGAATTTTTTCCAACAACTTTCAAT